TAATGATGCCAAGAAGAAAATACTTTAACAGACTTTCATTGATGTGGAGCAACTTGCGAACCTTTATGTGAACCTTTATGCAAGTCAGAGAGAAGCACGCTCGTGCTTCACTACAGCATGCCCTGTGTTTCTCTCTGGAAGTCTATAGCACGCCCGTGCTCCTTTCTGGAATCCAGTTACTTTTTTTTTTTATTACTGTCAACTATTCAATAATGCTCCATACAATATGAATGCTATCTTTGGATATACATTCATATTAATTTGTACAATGATAAGTCTCTTTAATGCCATTGATTATCATTAATGGTCTACCTTTGGGTAGCCTAACAAATTATAATCAATGATCTCAATTGTTCAATTTTAACTTTCATGTCATTTAACGGCATCATAGAAACATGAACAATTGAAAGCCGCATAATCAATGTCTAAACTAATCCAAACAAGTCAATGTCTAAACTAATCCAAACAAGGCCACTTTGGTGACTAACAAGTTTTCCATTCATTAAACATTGATTTATGCAAAATTTTTATGAGATTGAATTTAGATCTCAAACTTTAACGACATAACTCAATAAGATGTCATAACCTTTCTTATAAAGAACAGCAAAATAATTTATAAAGCATAAAGAAAACAAACAGTTTTTCAATTTCTATAATTTTTGGCTTCATTTATACCAGATAAATCAACTTCACAATACGAAATTAATTTCGATTAATTAAGCCAAATAAAACTCTATCAAACAAATCTAGAATAGGGACTAGGCTCTGATACCACATGTTAAATAAACTTTAACATAGCCTAGATCTTATTGTTCATAGAATTTGTTTAATAAGTATACACAATAAGCGGAAGCATACCTTGATCCATAGCTATTGATTACCTCTTTGCGGCAATTATGATTCTCACCGTAACAATAGATCTACGTTTCTTCACTCTGGCTTTTTGTCTGTAAGTGCTCTCTTAATGGTTAAAGAATTATCGACAGCAAAGGAGTATTCGTAAGTGCTCTCTTAATGGTTAAAGAATTATCGACAGCAAAGGAGTATTCTTTTTACGCTCTCTCAAATAACCTATCACCATATGTGTTTGAGGTAGCCATTACACTCTCTCTTTCTTTTCTTAACCCTAAGCTGTTGATTCCTTTATCTTTTATAAGGTAGAGGAAGGATATTAAAATCCTAACTGGTCTTTATCTATTAAGCCCAATGACCATCATCTTGGGCCACCTTAATTAGAACAGCCCTTTAATTACATGGGCCACTCAGATTATTAAAATAATCTAACACACATAGTTTGAACTTTGTATAAATTTCACCATTTTACCTCACTTAGTCATTGTTTACACTAGTGATGTTCCCGTTAAAGACCCATCGAAAAAAATCATATAAATCTTTACTTTCTTCTTTGGTGTGCCCTTATTTCGGCCTTGGTCCAATCATCCAAGCATGATTGTTTTTCTATTGATTCAGATGCCATCTTAGATCGGGTTTCATCTAGTGTATTTCCCCCCATACTAAAAGCTTGTCAACTACAACACTCAAGACTGGTTTTGCTAAAATTTATTTTGCTATTGGTGCAAAGGTTGAAAATGTATTTGTGTGACGACTCCACCAATCTAGAATTGAAAACTTGTTACCTGCAAAACTATCACCAAACTCGAAAATAATGCTAAGATAACTTTCAAGTTCCGGAGTAGAACTGGAACCCAGTCTCCTAGGTCTTTTTTGTCTTTGTAATAATAGAGATTCAACAACAGTTACCCTTTCGGTTGCCAATGATTTATTATGAACTTGAGAAAAATCAGAAGTAGATGAACCAGAATATTGAACAAATTTAGTATATAAATCTATAATATTTTTTTTTAACTTCATTTACATTACATTTACATTAACACTATCTTCTACATCAAGATTTAACATTTCATAATAAAGAGTCAAATAATCACATAAAATGTCAAATTTACATCTAGGATAAAACGCACAAGCAACAAGAAAAAATGGTGGAATATTTTAAAACAATTTAATCATTTTTTTTCAATGAAAAAATACAATCTTTTAATAATTCATCATTTTTAAATTCTTGAAGTGCACCAAGAATATTAATGATTATATACAAAAATAAATGAGTTGTGGGATAATAAATCCCACTAGAACTATGGATATTCAAAACATTCAAAATATTCAAAATGTTATGTACAAATTTCCAATTTTATGGATATAAGTTAATTTTTGTCACATTATAAGTAAAAAATGTACACAATAATTCTCTATATCCAAAAGACTCGTTTAATAATTCATATCTTGAATTCCAACAAATTGGAACATCTCTTTGAACACGTTTTGGTCTTTTATTATTTTTCTTACAAAATTTAACCCAATTTTTCAGTATTTGGAGATGTCCTCATAAAAATAAAATAGTTTTTGTAGTTGAAGAAATAAATGAATCAAAAATTTTTAAACAATCTTGTACACAAATTTAAAATATGGCATGCAAGTCTAATGTGAAAAATTTTTCACCAACATTGAGTTGACAAATTCTTTGAAGATAAAAACTGATGCATTGTTGGTAGAGGCATTATCAAATAAAATTGAAACATTTTTTTGATTAATTTATATTCATCTAAAATTGAATTAATCATCTTGTATGTATATTTTTTATAGTATGTCTATTGTCAAAAACACGAAATGCAACAACTTTTTTTTGAGTATTCTAATCATCACCAATCTAATGACATGTAATGTTCATATAAGCATGCATTTGCTAATGATCATTCCAAGTATCACAATAAATTGAACATGAAATTTCATTTGCGAAAAAAGTTCTAACTCCTTAATAAAATTTGTTGTGATAAAATTTTTGCGATATTTGTGAAAAAAAAAGTTCTTACATAATAAAATTTGTTGCTTTTAAATTTCTTCATGAAATGAATTGTGAATATGTTGGAACTTTATCTTGGTCCTCGAAAAATTATGTACCTTGATCATGCTCCTATTGTGAGTTTTCATTTGGATATCCCTCAAAATCAAATTGGTTGGAAGTGAAGTCAAATATATTGTTCATGTGCATAGATGAGATTGGATTTTGTGCTTCTCCAACATCTCTTGCCACTTGTGGAACTTAAATTTCCTACACTAATAATATGTAATTTGGAAAATTTGAGTATAAAAAAATACATAATACAATTAGAGATTAGAGAAATATTTTTGGTAATAATTTGGACAATAATTATAAATTGAAGAGCTTAGAGAGATTCGAGAGTAGATAGAAATAATTTAGTGTGAGGATATATAAAAATAGTAGAGTATTTTAGTAAATCATAAAATCTAACTTCCAGAAATACCCTTAAAATTAACTATTAGATAGTCATTTATAGTTGTTAGGAGGATTAATTTTGATTTTTAAAAAAATTTAAAAAAATGTGTTGAAACCAGTTGGAATTGCTGATTTAAACGGTTAGAACTGCCGGTTCTAATCGATTCTAAAAATCTTTAGCTCCAGCCGATTCACAATTCTAAAAAACTTAAAGCTAGAGCCAAGACTATAATCCCGGTCTATGGTTCCAATTCTGGCCAGTTCCATATGGTTCTGATTTCGGCTCCAACCGGTTCCAAACTGATGGATCTAATTCTAAAAATCGGATTTTGGCCATCCTACCTTGTCGTGTGGTATTGCAGGAGTTTTGCCCTCACACCTATGAATTAGCATTCGGTTAATCCGAACCAATCCAAACCAAATAACTCAATCCGAATATAGTCGAATTTCATAAATCTATTGTCCAATCCAAACCATATTTAATATAAAACCGAAAATAACCGAGCCCAATAATATGTGATTTTATTACAAAAATCCGGAATTGTTGCGAACAACTGGATTAGTTTTTTCAGTTGGTTAATCCAAACAAATTACGAGAAAATATCCAAATCCAAAATTTTTCAATATATGTGTTCCTATCTCCAGATCCAAAATTTTTCAAAATATGTGTTCCTATCTCCAGATATGCAGTTTGCACTCTTAAAGCAACTAATATACATATGCTTATAAATTTATAGACAATTGTATAGAATAAAAAAATAAATAATAAAATTAATTAATTAATCCAACAAGGCACAAGTGTCCAAACAAAAATTATAAAAGCAGTAATATCTAAATCCTAGTATCCAAATAACAATTAATATGATTAGCATTAAAAGAAGCATTCATTAAACTTTCAGTTACAAAATTACAGTTAGTAACCAATTAAACATGACCTTCTTTGTCAGTGATCTCAATAGTTATACCATATTGTTGTCACCTGTCACAAAAACTATACAAATATAATTTTGATTCATAGTTTTATTTTAATAGGAGGAAAAAACGCAATGTTTTGACACAAAAAAAAAAAAAAAAAAAAAAAAAAAGAAAAATTATATATTTCTGAGTACTAATCTGAATTATTTTGGATTAACTTGAGGTTTTTTTTCCAGACTACATCACACTCTAACAAAAAAAAAAAAAAAAAAAAAAAAAAGATAAAAATATATATTTCTGAGTACTAATCTGATTATTTTGGATTAACTGAGGTTTTTTCCAGACTAATCACACTCTAACCAAAAAACCAAATTAATATTTTCCAGACTAATCACACTCTAACCAAAAAAACCAAATTAATATTTATAACTAACCGATTCAAACCAAAACTAATTTATTGGCAGCCGAACCGGACTAAAATTACTCAGTCTGGTTTGGATTTTCGGTTAGATCCGCCATTTGCTCACTCTTACTAACACCCCTAACTGCATTTTTAATGCATGCCTGAAAAATCTCCTTTTACCTGTGATCTTCAATAATTCTCCGCGTAGAAATGACCCATAAATATCACGTATCCATCATCCAAAATCCAATAGCAAAAATTTAGCCTATCATCATCGGACATTCAGGGTGAAAAATCAAACACATACAACGGTAAAATTATCTTATGGCCATAATATATTAACTCTAGGACAACACGAACAAAAATAAATTTTGTCGATTAACAATTTTCTGGGTTCGTTTTATTAGATTTGCAAAGTAGGAAAACAACATATTGCAGCATGCAATTTCCAAAATGGCTACAACACTCCTACATGCCTGATTGCCCGTAATCTTGGAATGCAGGAATAAACCTACAGTTGGCATTTATTTTACCTCCAATCCGATGGTAGGATATACAATTTCTCTTATGTTCTGACTCTGATCCTTTACCCCCTGAAACCACTCGAGTCCATGGCATTTAAAAGTAGCCAAAGATTTTTCACAAACAAATTCTTGAAATCATCACCCCCTTATCCAGCAACAAATAAGATAAGGGGAAAACTGATGATTTCTAAATAAACTTGGACTACTTGTTCGTTAATTGCATGTGCTGCTGAGATACTAATACAGGACTTTCATGATACTATGCATTTTCCTCTGTTGCTACCCAAAGTTTTTGGTTTTCTTTTTCATCCTCGTACTATCTGGAGTCCGACCATCGAGCTTCCGCTTTTTACCTGCTTGTTTGGAAGTTCCACCATCTTTAAATGCATTCGCTTTTGCCTTTCTTGCGGCAACAGCTGGTCTTTTTTCCATGCGCTTCTCTCCTACTTGAGTCTTAGATTTCGTCTTAAATGATACTTTGGTTTGGGGACGGACTTTTTTATAGACACCAGTTTTGCTAGCACGCAAACCCTGGTAGGAAGTAGAATCCTTTGTGTTTGAACCACTATTTCGATCAGGTGTCCTCGAGTCCATGGCTAACCTCTTAGTTGGTGAATCAGATATCAACACATTCCTTCTCTTAGATGGTGTGCTATCTTGCTTGGAATGAGAGAGCCTCAACTCCCTATCTCGGATCTTCAAGTTTCTTTTCTTCAATACCAAATTTGCAGCTTCCTGCATCCCATTATAACAAGGGTATAATAAGGTGTTGCAATTTCATTGGTGTTCCAAATAATGTAGTGTTAACAAGGAATTAAACTATTGCACAATTCAAGGCAGTTTCTAAAACTGATAATTTAAGCTACCCCTGTAAGCTCATTACATTGCTGCCAAGTTTTAAATGTTTTACAAACATTTGAACCTAGTAATCTATATCTTAAAACTCCCAGTAATATATTTTGTGGTCCAGGATTGATGCAATTTCAACCATAGAAGAATCTAAATCATGGTTTCAACTAATTAAGTTCTGCTCTTCTCCCTGGTATCTGCTGATTTGATTTTATCAGAAACAAAGAAATGTGAACAGAAACTGAAATTAAACTGTAGCATTGACAAGCTCAACGAATAGCTGAAATAATAATTTAAAGATAACTGTAGAAAAATAAATATGAGTGCATAAGGAAATCTATGATTGAGCTACCTGCACTTCAATGATGCATAGACAAATATGAGCACATACTAAAATCTATTATGCATAGACAAATAGAGGTTACAAATCAAGAAAGCTGTATAAAATCAATTATAAGTGCATACAAAAATCTATTATTCGATTCCTCTGAATGATGCATAGACACCAAGTAGATAGTAGACGTGAATAACAATTTTGATATTCCCCTCTTCAAAGGCAATAATTCAATTTCAATTTCATGTTCTAATTAAGTAGATAAACACATTGGAAAAATAAGGATACAGAAAAATAAAGACACAACAATAACGGGTACCCTGTGTTTAATCTGCTTGCTCATTTCTACAGAAGCATATTGCTAACCTCAATTATATACTAAGAAAAAAGAATTGAAGCTTGCGAAGGAGAACACAAGGCACATGAACAAGGATACCGTGTTTTTTTAAAACTAGAACTAATTTTACACATCGTAGAAAAGAGGAAAACACTTCAACAAGAACATTAGTTAAGACAGAAGCACTTCACTGTTGCAAATTTTAAAATTTCAATGTAGGAAGTATTAACAAATAAGCATTAAAAAGAAGCACCTCATACCTTTGTTTTGAATAACACATAGGCAATACCCTTCCCTAGACCAATATGAGGATGTCTAATAACACGAACAGCTTCGACGCTGGATTCAATTTCTTTGATGCCAGAGAAAAGCTGATAAATTTCTTCATCCTGCAGCAGATATAAAATTGACATGTCCAGATACATACAAACGGGCAAATGCAAATGCAAAGGACAAGTATGCACATAAAGCAAGCATAGGGGGGCTAATTACCTTAACATCAAAAGGGAGGTTACCCACAAAAAGAGTCCTTTTGTTATCATAAAGTGGAGCACCCTCACCCTTCAATTTCTTACGAGGTGGACATGCCCTGTCAACACGAATATGGTTTCCTCCAACCTACATTCAGACACACATGATAACTTCAACTCATACAAAACTTTCTGTATGTGTGGGTGTGTGAGAAAAAGAGATTGCAAAAACATCACACTTTTTACTCAAATAAGTAATGTAACAAACGCAACTTTAGAAGAGCAACCTACCACGGCCATATTATGGGCCAGAGAAGCCTCAGCAGAATGCTCTGTTTTGAAAACAATATAAGCATGTACACTGCAATACATAGCAATTTTAATCAGAAAGTAACATAGCTAAGAAATTAACTAGAATCCTTAAATCATAATACACAGACATTAACTAAATAGAGACTCTTACAACTAAGGTGCAAACCACTCAACTATCCACATATTATTTGATAACTCAAAGAAGTAAAGAAAAACCAAGATTAAAATAGATTATGCCACAGTTTTAATGCATGGGCATCTACTATTTATTGTTGTTTAATCTTAAATAACCACTCTCGTTAGGTTAAGCAGGGGTTCCGGTGGACGAGACGAGAATTTTTTTTTTTTTTTTCCTCCCATTTTATATGCAAATTTTTTTTTTTTTTTCTCTCCAACACTGGACGTACCCAACTCCAGAATTGCAAAGTAGAAAAAAAAAATGAAAAAAAAAAACAAGCAAATTATATCTCCAGCATTTGAATAGGACATGATTTTAAAGACACAAAATGTAAATCAAAATCAATACCTGTCAGCTGAATCATTGAGTTTCTTCAGTAAAATGGCGCCCTTTCTCGGTATCTTGGTCTGTCAAAACACAAAAAAGAAAAAAATAAAAACATCATAACTCAACAACAAAGGAAACTAAATCACCCTGACAACTAAAATAACCATAAGACACTCACATCCACGATGGGCACAGACCGGATTCTGACAGATTCAATCTCCCCAAACTGCTTGAATTCCTTTATGAGCAATTTCTTCTTCACCTTTAGAGGCAAATTACCAACAAACACTGTCCTCAAAAGCTTACTTTCATCATCAAATCCCTCCTCCTCCTTGGAAGTTAACATATCCGTTTCATTCTCCAACTTTTTTCTCTTTTCTCCAACCACAACCACATTTTCTACTTCTTCCGCCACTGAACCGTACTTTTGGACCTCATATTCTCTCTCTACCTCATCCCTCTTTCTCTTCTTTCTCTCTGCTTTTGATTCCACCAACAAGCTAGGGTTTTTCTTACTCTTGTCCAAATCAGAAACGATGTTTGGACTTTCTTCGAATTCAGGCTTACGGGATTTCACTTCTTTCGATTTTTTGGAAACTAAAGGATTCTCTGTAGCTTCTTCCTCTTCTTCAAGATCAAACTTTTTCCCCTTGTTTCGCTTTCTCTTACCCTCATCAATATTAGACTTGTTGATTTCAGGATTTTCGCTCGAATTGGCATTGCCTAATCCTAGGCTCGAATCTTGCAGTTTTCTTTTAAACGGATTATTATCGGAGAAGATGGATGAAACGACAGAGTTTTGCTCAACATTGCCGAACAGGGTCTTGAAAATGTCGGAGCCAGAAGGAACGTTGTCGTTCTGAGGGACTGAGGAGGCGTCTAGTTCTTTACGTTTCTTTCCCATTTCGGTTGTGAAAGAGAAAAGGATTTAGTTGAAGCTTAATGGCGGAAACGGAATTTGCAAACCCTAACTGTGACAGGTTCTAGGAGAGATCCGCACCGACCTGTAAAGAGTAAAGGAAAGGATGATAGAGTCGACAAGTCGGGCCAGTCTCGGGCCAATAGCAAAGGGCCCATGGACGTTGAAGAAGGCTTAATTATTAGGGGTCGCTCGTTTCTTACCGTTCTTTTTTTTTTAAACAAAAAACTCTTTTTGGTTTTTTTTTTTTAATCTATTTTTTTACTAAAAATATACTTCTTTATACATTCATTTTATAAGAACAAAATTAATCAAATAACAAAATACCATTCTCTATATAAGCTCTTAAGTAAATGTCAGATTTAAGGTTTCACTTTTAACTAAATGTCATAAAAGAATACTTATTAAGATAATAACAAATTGGGTAAAAAAAAATTTAATAATACCAAAACTGATTTTGCAAGAGAAACGGAAAACACTATAAAAAAGAAAACGCTGAAAAAAAGAGAACACTTAAAAAAAGAAAACAATGAAAAAAAGAAATATTGGAAAAAAGAAAACACTGAAAAAAATAAAAAAGGAAATAATAAGAAAAAGTAACGGTAATGACGACCAATGACTGCGACAACAGCAATTATAAATAAATAAACATATATATATATATATATAGTGTATCGGTGAATACTGTAAAATTAATTAAATACAGAAAAGATGTATGTATATTAATTAACACGTTAGATCAAATAAATAAACATATATATATATATATATAGTGTATCGGTGAATACTGTAAAATTAATTAAATACAGAAAAGATGTATGTATATTAATTAACACGTTAGATCAAACCAAGTAAATACGGTTTATCAAACCAAATAAATACAGTGTATACATATATATTGTATCGTATCAATCCAAATAGAATTAAGAGTCCTATCTTATCTCTAAAGTAATTACTGATGTATAAAAAATTGATAGAAATATTCTCAACAATAATAAACAACATATTAAAAACAAAAATTAACATACCTTATGAATAAAAAATGAAACCATGGAATAACACCAATAATGAGAAGAATGATAGTAAGAAAGAATGATAAGAAAACAATGGACGTCAACAAAAGAAGAAAGAACCATAAGAAAATAATGAAGGCTGAAAAAATGGCAGTAGAAAAATATTATTAACATACTATAAAAAAAGGAAACAGTGGTGAAAATAAGAAATTAATACAAAAGAAAACACTAAAACATTAAAACACTGAAATAGGAAATTAATATAAAAGAAAACACTAATATATTAAAATATTAATAAATTAATGCCCTACTAATAAAAAAAGCGCACAATAATAAAAGTATATCACAAATGACAATAACTTAAATCTCAAAGTCAAACTGACATTCTGTAAAACAAGTTTTAAAAAGTGACATTTAGTATAGTTTCCCTATTTAAATCTATCTATACTATATATAAATGTGGGAATAGGAGAATAATGGAACTTCTGTTAATGCTCTTAATGAAATTTATAATGTGCTAATACAACCTTAGTTATAGCCAATTGAGAAATTACAAATTATTAGTTGATTGGAATATTTTATACTTTAACTTTATTAGTTGAAAAATAAAGGTAGTTTAATTTGGATTGTTTATGTTATTTTCCTATTTGAATCTAAATTCTTTTAGGAAGTTTAATCTAAATATCAAATTACCCTATAGTTTGATTGCCAAAAAATTTTCTTAATATTTTTTTTATTGAAAAATTATTTCCTATTTCAATGAAAATTCTATTGGTATAAAAGGAATTGTTAATTAAAGTAATTTTGAATTTATGAGAGTTGCTTATTAAATTAATAGTTGTATAAATTTTTTTTTGCTTGTATAGTTAATTCAAGCAACAATCCGTAGTTATAATTCCAAAATAAGAAAAATAAACCATAGAATCATATAAATAAGAAAGGGTCGAAACATTGAGATTAATTGTAACCTATATTGTAACTCTATGTTGTAATTATAACCTACTTTATAATACACAAGAAAAATATCATTAAGAATAAGAAAAATAACGTTAATGTTATAATTAAAGTACAAACAATCCATATAATCATTATAATGTTAAATTAGGGAGGGAGGGAAACATTGAGATTTCCAAGAGCGCAAAGGTTGAAAAATAAATGAATCATTCCTTAATTGAATTTAATCATTAATAATTGAAATGAAACACCTTCTTTGAACAAACTATTAATTTATTTCAATAAAGAAAATTACTTTTTATTTTGATTGGCTAATAAAATAAATTTATTTTGATTGGCTAATAAAATAAAATAAAATATTTTTAAGAAATCTTTAATTTGGTTAATATACTGTTTCCTATTCTATTCAAAAGTAAATTTTATCAAAAATCATTAAGAATTTTAATATTTTTTGAATATGATAATATTATAATAAATATTTTTAAGAATACAAATTCCTTTTTATAATTTCAATTTATGATGGTACAACAAAATTTTTTATGATGGTACAATTGAAGAGGATGTTAAAAAAAATTAAAGCATTTAATTATAAGAACTTTCTTTTTCTGAACGGAAAACTAATATCTTCTATAAATTAATAAATTATATGAACTTAATTAATCACTGTAGTTTTACTATAATTTTTTAGCTATTTGATCATGGAAGTTATTCATTTGACAAAGTTGGCCTGAGCTAATTTTGATAGTTCCGGTGTTTCATTTCTTTTAACATCCTTCAATATCACATTATCATTTGCATATTCTATAAATAAAATATCCATATTTCCTTGCATCATTATTTAATTATGAATGACACAATCGATAAGAGTAATGTATTTTTGTCGTTTGAAATAATATCCCCAAAATCTTGGGTCAAGAATAGTAACATTTTTCAAGTTATGAATAGCATCATCAAGAGGTGACCAATTTTTTCCTCACCCGTGAATACTACTATCATAATATATGTGAGAAATTAATTTGGAATTAAAATAGTTGATTTGGATAGTATAAAACCCGAGTTTAAATTCGGGCTATGGACTTTAGATGGAATTAGAAAATATGAATAGTGCATGGGAGGCTATTATTGTAATTTTGATTGTAGAGATGGGTTAAAGAGTTTAGTGATTAAAAGCATAAATGAAAAAATAATTAAGAGAAAAGATTGTAGCCATTGGATCAAATGTTGCACAAGAAATCATAGGCCTCCATTTAAAATGAATGATACAAAACCCTAATATGCTATCATATGGCCCATCTTCTTCTTTCTCCATCCTCCTTGGTTGAACCAATTAGCTCTCCTTCAATTTTCTTTCTTTCATTGCTTGATTACTCCATTCAAAACCATTAAAGAACTAAAGTTTATTGTCTCCAAGACTTCACCCATGCATTAAAAGTGGAATATTGGCTATAATCTCTACGTTTTAAAGCTTGGAAAGAGCAAGTGAATAATAACCATGGTGATCTAATTTTGAGGTAAGTTGAAATTGAGCTAGGGGAAGTGTTCTATTATGCTTTTCGTACATAAATGTTGGCTATTCTACATTTTGAGTTTATTTAGATTTCCATGGAAGAACAGGGTAAAGGATCTAAAAGAGAGAAGGGAAAGAGGTATTGAAGTGAGATTTGAAGCTTTTGGAAATATAATCAAAGCTAAAGAGGTTGTTACACTAAATTATGTCCTTCTATGAGCTTCCCTCTTTCTTAGTTGGAAGCAAATTAGGGTTTATGTTTTCAATTTGTAAATTGATGCTAAATGATGTAATTAGAGTGACATAAGACATAATGTAGAATATTAATAAATTAAAATTAAATAAAATGAAAAGAGTATAAAACCCATGCTTGGTCGAACTACATGGGTGTTAATGGCTCTATGTATGCTTTGTTTTTCTTTGCCATTTTCCTTGAAATATAAATTTAGAGCTAGGTTAAAAGAGATGGTTTTAATGAGAAAAGGATTAGAAAATTTAATTAGAAGTTAGAACTAAATCTACCTAGCTAAATTTCTATTAAACACATGAGTTAGAAATTTAAGTTTTATGTTAACTTGAAAAATATATAAAATATTGATGAATCATAGCCAACACTAGCACGTGTACTAGTCTTGTAAGTAGTATAGGAATTAGAGTCCAAATATCATTCTCTTAGAGCCAAAATTTAGAAGCCAATTAATCCAAAATTATTATTGTTATTTGAGAAAATGATTAAATGAGACAATGTAATTAATTAAACTAATTGAATTAAACAAGCAAACAATTGAAATTTAGAATAAACCAATAACTTAAAGAGTTAAGATCCACAATTCACCTTGACTAATTAGGATGCAATTTCTATATAAAAAATCAATTTTGAGATTGGTAGGTTCTTCTTGAGCTTATTTATCCTATAGGAAAATAAATTTTCAATTCGACATGGATCTTTCTAGTGAGTTTATTGGAAGTACATGTGATTATAGTGAAGAGGATGTAGAAGCGCAAAAAAGAGGATGACATTGTTGATGAGATGGAAAGATCATCCACTGAGCCATCTAGCACCACAGTTGTGACCAATAGGATGCTTCTAGAGCATCTAATGCAAGTTGAAGAGAAGATTGATACCCTCCAAGTGGAATTACGTGAGTTTGTTAGGCATCAGCCTCGGCCACCTGAGAGTTGATTGTTCACATGATGTTCTCATTTACTGTTAGGTAGGCATGGCCACGGTTCCGGAACCGGCGGTTCCGGTTCCAGAAAAACTAGAATCAGAACCGAACCGAAAAGGTCTGGTTCCGGTTCCGGTTCCGGTTTCGATTCGGTTACAAAATCGACGGTTCCGATCGGTTTTCCAGCGAATCGCATAATTTTAAATTTTAAATTTTGAAGACCGGTCTAAAAAAAAAATTATTTGAACATAAAAAATTAAAAAATACACCTAAAAAATTAAAAAATACTTCAATTAAATTTATTTTTTTAAAGACTTGAACATAAGACTTGACCATAATTATTTTTTAAATAAAAAAATTTCAATTGCACATTTTTTTTTTTTAAAGTTTAACATAATTTTAAAAAAAAATGGGCCTTGACCACTAAATTTTTTTTTTTGTTTAAAACAAAATTAAGTTGCCTACGTATCCCTCTTGGGTTTTAGAGGAATCCAAAATCCCGACGTAGTTCTTACTTACCTTTATACCAATTTTCATCCCTTTTACCTTAAATCGCTATTTGCACCACCGGTTGATGTTTCCGTTGAGGACCCCATCGTATAAAGTCATATAAATCCTTCATTTTCTTTTTGGATTTTCTTGGGCTCTTTAGTTCGGCCTTGGTCCAACATCCACGCAATGAAATTTGTGCTCTAATGAATCGGGTGTCATACGAGATCGTGTTTTAATCAAGTATGTTTTCCTCCTTAACTAAAAGCTTGTTCAACCGAACAGTGGAGACCGGAGCTGCTTAAAATTTGTTTTTGCAAAGTAAAGAAAATTGAAAAAGTATTTGCGTGACGACTCCACCAATCCTAAAATTGGAAAATCAGTATCTGCATAATCATCACCAAACTCAAAAGAAGTTTGTAGATAATTATCAATTCAGAAATAGAAACTGGATTCCCTTGTTCTCTTTTTTGTCTTTGGTAGTAAAACTTGTTGAGCACACCAACACCAACACCACTTAACCCTTTTGTGTGGAAATTGTTGAATATTAGATTGAGTAGATGAACTAGAAACTTGAACAAATTCATTATATAATTGCATAATATTTTGTTTAACTTCATGCATTACTACATTTATATTAACATTATCTTCTACTACATTTATATTAACATTATCTTCTACATCAAGATTCAATACTTCATAATAAATAGTCAAATAATCACATAAAACATCCATTCTACATCTAGGATCAAATATAATAGCAACAAGATAAAGGGGTGCTATATTTTTAAAATAAGATAACCATTTTTTTTTCATTGAAAAAATACAATCTTTTAATAAATCATCATTTTGAAATTCTTGGAGTGCATTAACAATATTAATACACAGGTAAAAATAAATGAGATGTGGGATAATAAACCCCACTAAATTTATAGGTAGCATCATTAAAAATTTTTAAAATATCTAAAATTTTTGTACAAATATAATAATCTGAATTTGCACAAATCTTCCCAATTTTTAGTGGAGTATAAATTATTATCCTCAATATTATTAGTAACAAAAAAAAGAAATATATTCTTTATAACGCACCAAAGACTTCATTTAATAATTCCATATCGCTTCGAATTCAACAAGTTGGGTACATCCCTATGGGAAAAATAGAAGGATCTTATCTATTATTTTTTTTACAAAAATTTAGCTCCAACTTTTTCATCACTAGGGGATGATCGCTATAAAGTATGATATATGCTTTTTTAAGTTGGAGAATTAATAAAAAGATTCAATTGAATTTTTAAACTCAGCTTGTACTACATACAACTTATTATAAAACATGGCAAATGCCACTCATCTTAATATGAAAAAAATTTTCCCACCAATATATTGTTCATTCAGATAAGTTTTTATAGTTCTAATAATGTATTAGTATTTGTGTCAGAAGCATTATCAAATGAAATTGAAAATTTTTTTTTTGTCAACTTATATTCATCTTGAAACAATTACTCTATAATATTATTTGCATGTTTATGTTTATCAATCAAAAAACAACGAAAAACCAATAATTTCTTTTTCTGATTGTTCTCATTATCAATCAAATCCAATGAACATGTTAAACCCATAATAAAGACATTTGCCGAATGAATCACTCCAAATATCACAATAAATTGAAACCGGAATTTTCATTTGCAGAAAATACAAGTCTAACTCTTTTTTTTTCCTTTATTATATAAAGAGAAAATAGTTTCGTTTTAACAGTAATTTTCTTGGTATCTTTTAGCATAAAAGATTTAATAGCTTTTTTGATAATAATTATTAAAACCTACTTTTTCAACCATATAAAGATAAGTTCCATAAGAAATAATATTCTATGCTAATTACCTGTCTTTTTGGTAGTTTTCAGAATACCCTCTTAATAAAGCAAAAATGTGTTAGAAGCGTATCGAAAAATTTTGTGTTTGAGACTGATCAACTCCTATTTTTTGTTGGATGTTTTGTCTCCAAATGTTCCAATGATCGCATAGCCGCCTTGCTTCGTTTTACAATTTATAAGATTTTCCACACATAATGGCAAATCTAACATCGTACCATTTTCTCACCTTTGAATTTTTTCGTGAAATGAACTGCGAATTATGTTGGAAACTTATCTTGCTCTTCGCAACAATTTGTGCTCGTTACTCTCTTGCTCTTTCGCTCTTCATCTCTTGTTAATTGCTCATTAAAATTCAGATCTCTTGAGTTGGAATATCCATTTTATTTTGATAACCCTCAAAATAAATTGGTTCGGGAATCATAATCATAGATGTCGTTTGTAGAGATAGTTGATTCTAATCTACCTTACTCGATGTTTGAGTTTCCCTCCCATTGTATTAATATTGATAATAAGTTATAATTTCGGAAATTTGAATAAAAAAAATTAGAGACGAATAATAACTTAATTAAGAGAGATTGTAGAGTATGAGAAGAATAAATGAATAATATAGAGTAGAGTGTAGTATAAATTGTAAGAGAGAGTATAGTAGAGAGTGTAGATAATTGTAGAGAGAGTAAGTAGAGAGAGTTGGAGATTTTTTTGTAATGAATTTGTAAAATTAAATGAGGTAATTTATAATAAATCCAAAAATTCAATTTTTTCCAAAATTATCCTTGAAAACTCAGCCCGTTAAAAAATTCATTTTTCCAAAAATATCCTTGAAACTAGCCGTTATGTAGCCGTTTATGGCTGTTGGGAGGGGTAATTAAGAGATTTCACAATAAAATTAAAAAAAACAAAAACCAGGTCTGACAGTTTACAACGGCTAGAACCGCCGGTTCTAACCAGCGGTTCCAGTCCGGTTCCGACCGGTTCTCTGGAACCGCCGGTTCTGGTTCCTAATTTTCCGATTCCGGTTCCGGTTCGGCCCGGTTCCTGTTCTCACCGGTTTCTGTTACGGTTCCGGGCCAGTTCGAACCGACAGTTCCGGTTCCCGGAACCGTAATATGGCCATGTCTACTGTTAGGGGAATATTCTATTTCCCTATTTTTCTTTTTCACTACAAAAAAACGCGCTTTTGCCACTGAATATTGTGACCGACGTACATCAGTCGCAATATTGCGATGATATTGTGACCAATTGCGATGAATGGGAGATTGAATATCCATCGACAGATTTGCGACCAAACGGTGACAGATTTTATGACAGATTTGCGACCGAAGTAATATATGTCGCTAATTCTAGCGCTAATGATTCCTACCAGTTTGATTTTCATTTTTCGACCCCATTGCAACTAATTTGCGACTGATTTTGTGAAGGATTTGTGACCGTTTGAAATCCTGTCGTGAAATTGCGCGATGCAGTTCAACACCAAATTTAGCTTTAGTTGTGCGACCGACACTTTTGCGACCGATTGTATTGGTCGCAAGTCGGTCGCAATTTGTCTGACCACAAAACAACATCGCATGATTAAAAATTGCGACCTTTTTTTAATGAATTTCAGTCGTAAAAAAATAGTTATAAGCCCTTGGTCGCCTTGTGCGAGCGCAACTCCTTCTTCCTTCCCCTGCTCCTCTCTATCGCAGCCGTTCCTAGCCCAGCCGCCTCCTTCTCTGCTCTCTTACAGCGCTGGTCGCCGGAGAAGCTCCTGTCACCGGAGATTCTTCCTCCTTCTTCGTTCGCGTTTGCCTAGTCAGTTATGCCTCTTGCTGTCCTTCTTTTTTTGTTTTTTGGTTTTTTTTTGTGGATTTTTTTTTTCAATGTGAATGTAATTTCAT